AGGATGATGTGGTAAATCTGCCCTAGATTGAGGTAATTGGTAGCACATTTATACAACACTGGTCGAAGATTGGATTCTTTTTGTTTTAATTTTTGCTTGATTTGAAAGGAGAGAGTTTTCACTTTATTTGAATGGAGACTAGGAGAGAGAGAGAGAGAGAGAGAGAGAGAGAGAGAGAGAGAGAGAGAAATTCTGCTGGTTTACTGCCTGAATACCTAAGCAGCTTTGTCTGAGCCAGGCCAAAGCCAGAAGCCTGGAACTGTATCTGGGACTCCCACGTGATTGACAAGGACCCAAACACTTGAGCCTGGCAAAGATGTTGGTTAGCAGGAAACTGGATTAGAAGCTGACAACCTAGGCTAGAACAAGGGTCTCTGATCTTGATATGTGATGTGGGAATCCCAAACAGGGACTTAACTGCTGTCCCAAATACTCACCTCTACATTTACATTCTAATGTACAGTTGCCTGAGTCTAAACAGAATGGTAAATGCTTCCAGAGGCCTTCTTATTATTGTGAAAGCCCTGTGTTCAATGATGAAATTTTCATCCAGGAACATTATAATTTCTGTCTTGAAAAATGTTGCTCATCTCTCTGTAATATATCCTGATTGTTGCATATGTCTTCTACATTCTTCAAACAAATAAACCCTATTATATGCTAGCCTGCTGTCCTTGCATAGTATTTCATTTGCTACTGGCTAACACCAAGCAAGAGAAAGAGGAATTGTTCTTATTTTTGAACTAACTCAATAGAGGTTTCTCTTAAAACATAATGTTTCATGCAGTCTCCTTTTCATCTCTCATACTCCATTCACTTTGCCCCTACTTTCATTTCTCCAGACAAGTTTGTCCACATTTATGAGACAGATTTATGCAGGAGCTGAATTTATGTTTCAGAGTTGGGAGAGAACCTGGAAGTTATTTAGTCCAGTGGAAGGGGCTTTCTTTGGATATAATTTTCATCGTCTCTCTTAAATGGGATCTATCTCCCCCACTGAAAGATCCTGTCCCCATGTGATCACCTATTCCTGTGATACCAGCTGACAGTTCAACATGACAGGTATCAAACACTTTTTTCAGTTTCTTAGAATGTCATTGTTATATATGTCAATAGGGAAAAAGTGAAAGCTCTCCCTTATAGTAAAATGTCAAGAAATATAATAAGAATGATCAAATTGGGAAAACTTTATTTGACAACTATCATAGTAATACTCATGATCTAATTTACAATGGTTTGAGATATAGTGTTAAAGCCGTATATGTTCAGTAGAAAACATACTTCGAATTTTTATATGCTCACTGTTTGTTTTTTTTTTTTTAAATAAATACAGCCACTATCAAAGGCAGCATGGATATTCCTCATTTCAGAATCTGAAAATAGAGCTACTGGGTTTTGCCTCTCTTGGAGCCCCCTCCATGCCACCCTGGCTGGAGGTCTCTGACTCTAATAAATCTGATTTAAAACTTTAAATCTTGCTTTTCTCTTTGCCTTGTCAGGTTGGAAATAATTCTTCTATGTGAAGCAAAGAACTGAGGTAATATTTTTTCTGCTGCCATTTCCACCCATAAAATTTTGGTACTGTAACTTGGATTGCAACTCCAACGCAGCATAGATTCCGCTTGAGTTAGACTCCAGCCAGCAAAGGATCGTAAGGATCATCCCACCAGACTGGTTAACATGCGGATGGCTCTCACTTTTTTTCAGACAACTTCACACTCCTATATAGCAGTTCTCATTTTCTCAAAAACACCAAGTCCATGTCACCCAGTTAAAAGCAATTAGCATGGACGCTGGTCTTAAGCCTCAGGGCCAAGGCTTGCTGATTAAGGCCAGAGCATTTTCCTAAGCTGAGACTCTATCCTAACCCCTCTCTTCTTCAGTGTTGCCTGGTAATAATAATAGACAGAATTAAAAAGGAGATAATGTTCTAACAGTCCATAAAGAAACATCATAGAATGATAACTTTAAAAGCACTCTGACCTCAGAATCAGCCCTTAATGCTTTCTGGTATGGCTGAAAAGCACGTGAGAGCATTTCAGGCATGGAAAGCCAAAACACTGTGGCAAAAATGTTCTACATGAAGTATCTCTGTGAGTGATATCCAAGCAGAAAGAAGTGACCATCAAAGAAGGATGTACTTTTCTCTAAAGGGAGGAGAAAATTTCCAGTTTGCTTATGGCCTTGTCCAAATATTGATGGAGTTTATGGACTCAAAAGACTTCCATAGCATAGACAGCTCATGTCAAGAGCTTTCAGTGTTCATTAATGTCATATATAAGAGTGTTAATTGTTAAATTCACAACAGGAGTCACTCTGCACTAACTCCCCATGCAGGACCTCTGTCCTCAATGAGTTGTATTATGAGAATTAACTGTAAAACTAGTTTGCAAACAGTTTTGTGTGTGTGCAAATTGTTGAAATCTTTACATAGTATAGAGTTGTTGCTCTGTGTACAAAATTTATTGGAAATGAATCTTAATGGAGAATGGGACTGGGAAGGGTAGAGGGAGGAGGAGGAGGAGTGGGAGTTTTGGTGGGAGGGTGGGGATGGTGGGAAGAATAACTATATTCCTAAGATTGTACTTTGGGAATTTTTTTCCTTAAAAAATAAATTGAAAATAAATAAATAAATTAAATTAAATTAAAGGGAAACTACAAATAAAGCATTAATAATTATGTACAAAAAAAAAAAAAACTCAGACTTGGTCTCTTACTTTCTGCCTCTGAGCACATTGGCAGAAAGCTATATCAAGCAAAGCAGCCAAACTTGAACTGGCACTCTGATATGAGATGTGGGTATCCCAAGCAACAACTTAACCTACCAGGCCACATCTGCCCCCTGAACATGTTGAAAATAACTTAGGCTAGGTCAGGATGTGTTATGGAGTAGTTGAACTAAATGTATTTTGACAGTCATGTTTTCAACTTAGAAGTGTTTATCAGGATATAACTCCATTGTAAGTCAGGGAACATCTGTAACTGATTTAGGCAAGTATTATTCCTGGATACTAAAACTAGCGGGAGCAAACTTGAGGGGTAAGGAATTATTTAAATAATTACAAATTACTCACTGCTTTCAAAAATCATTATTAATTAGCAGGTAAAATAACTGCAGTTGAGTAATCTTGTAGATACCACCTTAAAAAAATGATCAAGGGGCCGGCGCTGTGGCTCACTTGGTTAATCCTCCGCCTGTGGTGTTAGCATCCCATATAGGTGCCAGGTTCTAGTCTTGGTTGCTCCTCTTCCAGTCCAGCTCTCTGCTGTGGCCTGGGAGGGTGGTGGAGGATGGCCCAAGCGCTTGGGCACTAGCACCCGCATGGAAGACCAGGAAGAAGCACCTGTCTCCTGGCTTTGGATTGGGCAACACCAACCATAGCGGCCATTTGGGGAGTGAACCAATGGAAGGAAAACCTTTCTCTCTATCTCTCACTGTCTACAACTCTACCTGTCAAATAAATAAATTAAAAAATAAAAAAGAAATGATCAAAATTAACCTCACTAGGAAAGGACAAATCCACAGCAAGAACTTCCTGATCTGATACACTGGGAAAGGCACAGAATGATTTCTAATTAGTCCCGCAGCTGTTGGGCTTACTGGTGAACAGAACACTTAAAATTGTAGCAACTTAGCTGTAATGAAGAGTTATTACATTTTTAAGAATTAAGAATTTAAGTCTTTATTTGTGTTTTATCTCTTTACACTCAGTGAGTCAGTTTTTCTTTTTTTTAACTTTTATTTAATGAATATAAATTTCCAAAGTACGGCTTATGGATTACAATGGCTTCCCCCCCATAATGTCCCTCCAACCCACAACCCTCCCCTTATCCACTCCCTCTCCCCTTCCATTCACATCAAGATTCATTTTCGATTCTCTTTATATACAGAAGATCAGTTTTTCACTTCAATTGTTGCTGATCTGTGTCACTGAGGTTATTAGAATTTGCTTTGGTCGTCATTTCATTTCCAGCCAGAGTGACTACTCAACTACTTACAAGGTAAACTGTGGCACCTCTCAGAGATTCTGCATAGCACAGGATGAGGTGCTGGTGAGTAGCAGGCACTGTCACAGGGACCATTTCATATTTTCTAATAACTCACCTGCCACTCACAGTTCATGCTTGTAATAAGATCTGATTTTCAATAGCCTGTGTTGATAGGATTGAATATAAGAAAAGGAACATAATATTCATTCCATTATTAATATTCTCATGAATATTCTTCCCTCCCCTTTTCCTTCCCTCTCTCTCTGTCTCTATACTTCTTTGTAGTATCTAAACTCTACTTCTTTCCAAAAAGGGCTTATTGTTGCTTACAAGCAAAGTTATGACTGATAGATACAATATAAAGAGAAAACCAAATCCACAAAAAAGAGTGTATGTTCATTATAAAATGTTACATAGTTTCTATGTATAAAGTTTATCTGTTTTCCCTAGCATTATGAAACAGAGATTTGAGGAAACAAAGTAAGTCATATATGACTTTTTCTAAGAAAGGAAAACCCATATTCTTTCCCATGGGGAGGAAAATTTTTATTGATCCTCAAATTTAAATTAAAATCCCAACGTGGGCTTTCTGTAATAGACATGGAGATAAATCAATGTTCCTTAAAAAGCAACACATTCAAACTCAATTTTTTTAACCATGTTTTACAAAATGAATTTGATTCCTTAGGACTAACCATCAAGAGGTCTAATTGTTCAAGGAAAATGTGCTGATCATACAGCAGTCTGAACACCAGAAAAATCTCAACATCAAACAAGATTGCACACTGGAAAGACTTTATATTAAACATGACTAAGGTAGTTGAGTTTTGGTGTAGACTGGTGACAGCTGGAGCTTACAAAGAAAGAATACGTAATATCTATGTATTAGATATTATTATTAATATATAATATATAATATATTTTATATATTATATTATATTAATATATAATATTATTATATTAGATATTAGATATATTATTAGATATATTATTATTAGATATGTATATCTGATCATCTATGTTGCTGATCTGAAGAGATGTTCACTGTCACTGAGACTATTAGGATTTGCATTAGTGGTCATCTGATTTCCAGCAAGAGTGACTACTCTTGAGTAGTCTCTGGGTTACTTTTTTAACTTTCCCTAGATAAACTAGAGTGTACTTTTAAATGAGATTACAAGAGGGCAAATATGCTTTCCTCACTATTTCAAAGAATAAAACAAATAAAGATTCGTGGGAACAGCCATGCTGGGAGAGAACTCAAACAGCCTAAGAATCCATGTAATGTCTGCTGTGTGACTCTATTGGTAATTGTTCATGTAAACATATAGAAAGATTATGTCATACATTGATTCTGAGTACGTTTCATATCAATGTACATGAAAGTGGCAAATGAAAATATAACCAAAGAAATGGAGAGTCAAATTCTGTTCTGCAAAGCTGTCACTGTTGTCATTTGTTTTCCAGGGGGAAGCATCTCTCAGGGAACACATTCTTCAGGGCTGATTTTACATCTTTATTCCTTAGACTGTAGATCAGTGGGTTCAGCGTTGGCGTGACGAGGTTATTCAGGATCTGAATTACAGCACCAAGCAAGGGGCTGGGGTTCCGCTGTAGATAGATGATGATGACTGGCCCATAAGCACACAGAATTGCAACAAGATGGGCACTGCAGGTGGAGAATGCTCGTTGCTTGCCCTCTTTGGAGCGGATTTTTGATATGGAGATCCCAATGCGAGTGTAGGAGGCAAGGATGAGAGAAAAACAGACTAGAGACAACAGGCCAACATTGGTAAAACCTACCCTCTGGGCTCGAGAGGTGTCTGCACAGGCTAGAGGTAACACTGCAGGAATATCACAGAAGTAATAGCCCACCTGGTTAGGGCCACAGTAGGGTAACTGAAAGGTGAGGGAGGTGAGGATCGTGGCATGGACACAGCCACCCATCCATGTCCCTGTGGCCAATGCAGAGCACACTCTGTGGTTCATGATGATCGTGTATCGCAAAGGAAAGCAAATGGCAACAAAGCGGTCGCAGGCCATCACCGTGTACAGGAAACACTCTGTGCAGCCCAGGAAATGGTAGAAGAAGAGCTGAGCCACACAGCCCTGGAAGGAGATGTCCTGAGTCTGCCCTGAAAGGTAGCAGAGCATCTTGGGAGCAGTGGTTGAAGAGAATCCCAGGTCAAAGATGGAGAGGTTTCCCAAGAAAAAATACATGGGGGTGTGCAGCCTCGGCGAGGAGACGATAGCAGTAAGGATGAGCACATTTCCCAGGAGGGTACACAGGTATAATGCTGAGAACAGGCACAAAAGCGGCCCCTCGAGGCCCTGTGTCTCAGGGATTCCCAGCAAGATGAATTCAGTCACCCATGTGTGATTTCTCATTGTAATGGAAGGATCAACTCTTGGGCGTCTGTGAAAAGAAATTCATGGTTACAGCTGATGCATTTGTAAATTAACTGTGTTTAGATTGGTGAAATGGAAAAGCAGCAAAAGCCTTGGCACAGAGCCTTACAGGATGTAGCCTCCCTGTGGAGCTGTGCTGATGCTGCTCGCCCTAGTCTGGCTCTTTCTGCAGCCCAGCCTTTGGTGGCAGGCACCTTTCCCTCACAGTCTCATCAGACATAGCTCCAGGCAGTCTCCTATCTCCCATGTTTCATAGACACTATCAAATGGCATGCATTCCAAGACTGCTTTGTTATTCTAAAGGGAAAAATATAAAGATTTGTTGCCTTAATATAAGTCACTTCCACATTTCTTCATATTTCTTATTTTTATTTAAGGCAATTTGGTTACACTAACTCTCCAGAATTCATTTATCTTCATGTAGGCCACATATATGAAAGATACAATGTCCTTCTAACATTATTTCCCCAGGTTAGAGGCTCAACAATGAGAAGTTGGCCAAAAATAAGATCTTAGATGGGGCTAATGGATTGAAAAATGACAAAAACAGGGCCCTTAATCTGCAGTCACCTGAATCTAGTGTACAAGAGTTAAACTTCCTTTTCTGTCTCTGAAGTCTGTCTGCTAACAAGATCAAAACAGGGCAAGATCAATTTAAGACAGTACAAAGCACAGGAGTTTGTATGGAAATGACTCTCCTATCCAAGTTTCAGATTTTGAAAAGTTTTGATTATTTTCTAGTTGTTTTATCTTTTCCAACACACTGAGGTCATTACGTTATAGCTCAATCAATGGATTCTATTGTCTAAGACCCTGTCATTTTACCTATGAGCAATATATCTATTTTTCTAGGTATCTATCTACTATTCATCTATATAGGAATCATCCACCCATCTTTCTATCATCTGTTATCTGTGTTCTTGGTGATTGTGAAGCAGAGAACTAGAGTGAAGATAACAAGCAAACAACAAGGGTTGGGCACTTACATGGCAAACAGGGAAAGCAGCTGGTGGTGTTTTCTATCCTACCCCAGTAGAAGGAAGGAGACACCCCTGCCTAAACCCCCATCAGCTTGCAGGCTGCATGTAGCTACCTTAAGTTTTCTTTTTCAGTCGCTTTCAAATAGAATTACACAAATCTGAATGGCTTCAGGTACCTTGCATTAATTTCCTGTCTGACTCTGGGAATTGTAATATTTCACGAACACAGGAGATTTAAATAATCTTGGTCTTCCTTTGGGTGTAAGTCCCCCAAGTCATGGAACTTATTGATCAAAGGAGCAATTAACTGCTAGCTGTAATTAGATCTCAGAAGTGAACGAGAGAGAAAGAGAGAGAGTGTGAGTGTGTGTGTGTGTGTGTGTGTTTGGACAGAAAGAGAGAGGCTATTATAATTTTCTTAATATAATATATTTCAGATGAATAAAAATTCATTTAGCAATATGTCACACATTTTTGTGTGCAATTTCTATATTTGCTGCTTGTGCATGTGTGTGTGTGGTTTTTATAAATAAACTGTATGTTATTTCACTACATTGTGCCAATAGGACTGAATTATTTCAGGCAGAAGTAATGAGGGTAGCTCAGAAAATTATAGAAACTGATGAGAAACTAGGCCCAGGGCAAGTGGGGATGACCGCGACTCCATGAATCTTAGAGTGAGTATTTATGGAACAGATCACTATGCTTCAAATCACATGATTCAGCTTCAGCAGCCTCTGTCTCCATGTGCTTCACCTGAAGAGTCCAGTTTGCTGAGTCAGAGGCCTACCCCTATGAGTAGGGTGCAGTAGAATGGAGATGGGCAGTTCTCCAACGGCAGGGGGAAGTTTTGTTGCCAAGAGAAACAGAAAAGAAATATGCCAAGAGACCAAAAACAAGTTTGAGTCTTCACTGAAGTATCTGTCTTGCATTATTTTGTATCTTCTGCAGTATCCATGTTTGATGCTGTGGGTGCTCAATAAATATTGATCGGGAATGGCTGGGATGCTGTATTTCTCACTGACTTCATTCATTCATTTGTTTACCTATGTATAGCATTTATTCCAACAAATACTGAGCCCTAATTATGTGTTAGGCATTACTTATTTGCCAGGTGAGACAAAAGTTTTGTGAGGGAGTTGGATTAAATATAGTTCTTCTGCTATAATGATCTATAACACATCTGCAAGAAAAAGAGCATTTTATAATCTTATTTAAGCCTCAAAACTCTGACATGGTTTATTTCAGATGCAGACAATCAGGGGTCAAATAAGTTAAAAAATTGCTCAAAATAGAGTCTGGTGTTGGTGTACAGCAGGTTAATCTTTTGCCACCCATGTAGAAGACCTGGATGGAGTTTGAGGATTCTGGCTTTGGCCTGGCCCAGCCTGGATGTTGTCGCCATTTGAACCAGCAGAGGGGGGATCTCTCCCACCATCTCTCTCTAATTCTACCTTTCAAATAAACAAAATAAATATTTTAAAAAATGAAAATGAGGAATTTATTTTGCATGAAGATGTAATTTGGCTTCTTTGTCAGGTTTTGGCCATAAAATTTAGTATTTAGCGTATACTTAGGTGGTTACATGATTCTGTATATATCTGGAATTATTATTTATATGCCAATGTAATGTTTTGCTCTCCATCTAACTAATGATAAAAGATTTAGTAGGGAGCAGTTCTTTTGCCTAATTGTTGAAACTCCTGGTGTCTCACATTAGAGCTCCTTGGTTGAATTCCAGGTCTGGGTTCCTAATTCCAATTTCCTGCTCCTGCAGATAGACCCCGGGCACAGCAGTAATTGCGCAAGTAATTGGGCTCCTGGTGCTCATCTGGGACACCTGGATTGTCACTCTTGAGCCAGGCCCAGACCTGCTGTTTCAGGTGTTTGGGGGTGAAGCAGCAGATGGGGAACGTGTTCTCTCATTCTCTTTCTCTGTCTCTCTCTCTGTGTGTGCCTCTAAAATAAAGAATTTATAAAAAGTAGTAGTGTAAAACCTAATAATTTTGCCTTTATGTCTATCATTATTGATCTTTAAGGCTTTAAAACGTAATAACTGACTTGAATAAAATGGCCATTTGGGGACTCAACCAGTGGATGCAAGATATCTCTCTATAACTCTGCCTTTCAAATAAATAAAATAATTCTAAAAATAAACCTGTTAAGTGAAATCTCCGTAAATTTACATTGGCCTAGTAAAATTTTATTCAGGGAAGGAAGATGGCTTGGATAATTTTAGATGTCCAATCAGAATCAAGATGTTTTAGAATCAAGGTGTCATGTGCTAAACTAATGTGATAGCCTGAGTGGAAGCACTCACATTTTACATTTCCAAGAGGTCACAGGTTCCTGGTGAAAATACCTGTGCATAATTGTGATCACATCATCAAAGAGCAGACTTTAATACAATATTGTGAAATTTTTCTGATTTTTGTGTTACAATCTTGAAAACAAAAAGCTGATCTTCGTAGCAGCTATCATCACACACACATTAGGTAAGTTCCAGAGATCCAAACTCAAGTAACAGATTTATATCAAGATGCTGTGAGCTTCAATTTGCAAATAATGAGTTCAGCGTGTGATGAACAAATAATCCTGGGTGTTTATCATTTTGCCAATTTTGTCTATAAATTTAGACCACATTTTAATTTTATTACCAAAGATGCCACAGTCTCAACTATAATCTCTTTCCAACATCATCAATCTCTTCCCATCTCTCTCAATTATTCTTTCTATATATCCCTAATTCTCTATCATCTCTCTCTCTCTAAGATTTATTTATTTGAAAGTCAGAGTTACACAGAGAGAGGAGAGGCAGAGAGAGAGAGAGAGATCTTCCATCATCTGGTTCACTCCCCAGATGGCCGCAACGGCTGGAGCTGTGCCGATCCGAAGCCAGGAGCCAGGAGTTTCTTCCGGGTCTTCCACATGGGTGCAGGGGCCCAGGGACTTGGGTCATCTTGTATGGCTTTCCCAGGCTGTAGCAGAGAGCTGGACAGGAAGTGGAGCAGCTGGGTCTCGAACTGGTGCCCACATGGGATGCTGGCAATTCAGGCCAGGGCGTTAACCCACTGCACCACAGTACCGGCCCCAACCCCTGTTTGATTTATAAGAGTAAGTTACCTTCTTAATATGCTGTGTTGCTTAGTTTCCTTTGATGTCTCTTAACTTCTGAAGTTTCCTTAGTGCATAAGTACTTGTCTTTGTTGTTAAAACTGGTGGGACCCATGTCAGTTTTGGGTTGTCCTGTGGTATTTCTGAGTTGCTGTGAAACGGGAATGTAGGGCCCCTGAGGCATGACTGATGGAAAAAGCCACTTCTGCAGCATTTTCCACTGCTCCTCAAAATGGAATCACAGCTGTGGACTTGACAGCTTAGCCCACAGTCCAGGCTCCCACGTTCCTCTACCCCACATTTAGATGCTGTTAAAGCTCGAGTGCATCTCAGTGTCCCTGTTCTCTGGGGGTCTTGGCGAGTACCCCATCCCCAACATGTGGGCTGACTTCGGTGTGTGTAACATTCTCTCTCAGGGCTCGTAGATTCACAACCCAAGAATTGACCACATGATCATTTTAAAGACTAAAACAAGGACCTAACATGATAAACTTCCCATTGATCTTATTTGAAGAGAAATTTTGCCTCTGTAGATAAACCTGCCTCATTCTTCTGTTAGATGCTGAAATATTTTAACCTAGTATATTTCACTCCTCTAACTAGCTGCCAGGAAACTAGCATTTGAAAACACTGTTTTAACTATTGGTTATGCCTGCTAGCTTCCCACCTCTTCGATCTGTTTCATATTTTTCTACTTTTGTATCTTATGTGCCTAAAACTTATCTCAAACCCTTTGGAAGTAGAAGTGCATTAGAATCAGACATAGTGTTTTTGATTTGAGTTTTCTCAGTTCCCTATTAAACTCACTACAATTGATTAGGGGAAATTGCAGGATTCTTGAGTTCCTTCTTGTCTTACAAGTACCTTATTCTTTCTGTATAGATTGTTTGATGGGAGATCCATGTGCCATGGTGAGTTTCTATCCAGATATCCCAGAAACTGAACCTGAACCGTGGGGAATTCGTCTTCCTCATGGACTGCTCAGGAAGCATGAAGTGCCCTATGAGCAAACAGGCTAAATCTCAACTGCACATAGAGGCAGCCAAGGGAAAGCTGATACCTTTCTTTTTCTGGGTCACTTGTTCAACTAAGGATGAATTCCAGGGGTAGATGGCCATTTGCAGCTGTGGCTCCATTTTGCATCTGAGCTGAGCTAGCATGACCAGCCTGAGGCTAGTCTTGGAACATGAGGAGGCACAAAGAGGGGTGAAGTGTTGGATTGGCAGCGCCTGTGTGTCTGAGAGGATCCTCTGTCTCCTCATACTCTCTTACCTCTAGGAAACTCTACTTTTGCTCCTGAAGAGTTTGTCCATAGGCTGTTATTTCAACATCTATGAATTTGGATCTTCCTTTGAGGCATTCTTTCCGTAAGTTTCTAGAAAGGCCATAGAGTGCAAAAAGATACTTTAAGAAAGGGAATTGATTGTTAAAGGGTTATTGTAGAATGGCTTTTGGCTTTGGGCATTTCAGGTAAGATTTTTTTTTTTGATGGGGGCATCTTAATTCAAGGACTCAACACTGGATGGTGGTGAGCAGCCATCACAGGACAACTGAGTGATTGCCTTTCTCAGGGACAGTGTAAAGCACACCCAGCAAACCATGGAGGAGGCAGTGAGAAGAGTGCAGCTCATGAATGCAGACCCAGGGGGCACTGAAACCTTGACACCACTCCAAGACATTGACAGAAGAACCCCCATTGCAGGCCACCCCTACAGGTAAGAATTCGGATACAGCTAACTGAAGGACAGAGAGAGTGAAAGTCTCCACTCAAGAATCCATGCCAAGAGCCCCTGAACTTCACTGAAGCACTGTTGAAATATGGCTTACAAGTCCGAGTCTTCTATCCAGTTGTCAGGAAACCTTTTCCTTGTTCTTTTTTCCTTAACTCCATGCACTGGACAATAGAAACTCTTTTGTGGAGTGCCACAACAGCCTTAGATGAAGCTAGGATGCTGAACAGGCCTTAAGAGTACATGCTGGGAGTGACAGTTGAACTTCAGGGATGTCTTGACTGCTTGAAGAAGTAGCAGAGCCTTTTTCAAAGGCAAAGTCTGAAATCTTAAAATGAACTTGACAGAGGCTTGATGAGCATTTGTCTTCGCAGATGGAGAAGTTACTGATACATGCAGCATAATTAAAGAGGTTAAGTTCAACAGCAGGAAGCACAGGTATGAAGAGAAATGTGGTTTCTGCTGGATGTGATGTCACTAATGTCAGCCTGTAATTGAGTGTCACGTGATTCAGTGTGGAAATCTCTTGCTGGGACAGAATGCCTCTAGAATTTTAATTTTATCAACTGAAAATTTGTCTCTCTATTCAAAAATGAAAAATTTCAAGGAGTGGACATTTGCTCTAGAGGCTAATGTGCTTGATGTTTGCTTCAAAGGGAAAGGGGCCACCAGCGACCAGGCTTGTGTCTTTTGGCATCCCTGCTCTTAAAGATCTCAGTTCCTGGATCTTTGCTGCCTTGGTAGCCTTTGAATTAAAACACTGATATAACTTTACAGTTTTCTGTTGTCTTTAAACAATTTTCTCTGACATTGCTTTGAGCAGAACCTGATGAAGGTGTTATATTTTAAGTCATGAAGTCCTATAAAGTCATGATATATTAAGAAACCATATATTTAAATTCTGGTTCTCCTTTCTAGATATTATCAAAATCCTCTAACCTCTCCAAACCTCAGTGTCCTCACCTGAAAATAGTTATATAAATAGTACTTACCATATGGGTTTATTTTATTAAAAGAATATACCCAAGGAAACTTTGGAAACTGTGTTTGACACAAGTACTATTTAGGATTTTACTATTATTCTTCTTATTTTTATCTTTATGTACTCAGAGGTAGGGGACATTTTTTTCTGCCAAGAACCATTTGGATATTTGTAACATCATTCATGGTAAAAATGATCAATTTAAAATTGATCCTGTATAGATCTATTGAATTATGAGTCCTGCCTACAGTTGCCTTGGTAGGGTCAGACCAAATGATTTTGTGAGCCTTGTACAATCAGTAGGCTGGATGTTCCCAACCCACGATACATAAAACATGCTAATGAATTAAGGCAAATAGATAGCTATTAATCAAAATTGTTCTTTTTTAAAGATGTGTTTTATTTCAAAGGCAGAGCAATAGAGGAAGGTGGAAACACACACACTCACACAGAGGCTCTAATACTACAGCGTGAATTAAAAAATGGCTTTTTATACCATCTTCTGCTATTATTTATCACTTTGTGAAGAAAGCATAAAAGAGACTTTTTAATATTTATTCTAGCATTGCAGAATGTATGCACACAGAAGAGAGAGAGAGGAAAGAGAGAAAGAGAGAGAGAAAGAGAGAGAGAGAGACAGGGAGGGGGAGAGAGAGAGAGAGAGAGGGAGAGAGAGAGAGAGAGAGAATGAGCACTTCCATGTGCTGATTCACTCCCCAGATATCTGTAATAGCCAGAGGTGGGCCAGGCCAGGTGCATCAGCAGGCAGCTGGATTGAAGTGGAGCAGTGCTCTGATAGGGAATGCTAGTGACACAAGTGGTGGCTTAACCTGCTATGCCACAGCACTAGCCGCTCAATTTTGGTTTTGTACATAAAAAAGTACCTAAAATATACACAAAAGCACTTTATAGCCTAGGCTACAATTCAAAGATAATGATGAGAATTTCATTGTGATTCTAAAAAGATGTGGACTCGCTGGGTTCCTTAGGGAGAATTATCATAGTTCAGTCACTGCAATTAGAAGTTAGGACCTTAGCCTTACAAATTAGAGCATTAATCCTAAAGTTGATGTCACCAGACTTGGGGATAATACCTCACACTAACCCAAATCAAAACAGCCAAAATTCTAGTGTGTTACATGACATTGAAAATTATCTCTGTCATGTCTTTTCAAAATGTGTGTATTTATTTTATCAATGTGTTCTCTGTTTATAGACAGTTCTGTTTGAGAAGCCAAATTGTGGTTAAGGAGCTATTTGGTGCACATGGACCAGGGTGTGAACTCTCCAGTTAGCAGAGCAGAAGGCACAGGACCCTACCATCAGAACAGCTTTGCCTGGGCAAATGTGGTGCCAGAACGATATTGTGTAGTCAGTGGTGACCGTTTCCTTTCTTGTGACTTGCCAGGGGAATCTTGTAGTCAGACAGACATTGCTCACCATTCAGTAGGGCCATGACCTTGAGCAAATTCCTTATATTCTTTGGGCCTCAAATCCTTCTTTGCAACAAGAAGTAGAAACTTGCCTCTTAGGAGTTTCATGATAATAAAATTGCATCATTAATTTAAGGCATTTATTATTACAGTTTTAAATGTATGATCAATAAATGGTAGCTATTAGGCTTCTGGTTAAGAAAGTAGGTAATTTCTTACGTGTTTGGATCATTATGTGTTAATATTCTGATTTCATTCTTAAGAACTGCTCCCTAACCTCCATCCTTTAACAATTGCAGGTGTTTCTCATTTGGTATTGGAGAAGGTGCCTCCACCAGCCTAATAAAAACCTTGCTCAGGTTTCTGGGGGTCCCCCCTCCCTCCCTCCCTCCCTTCCTTCCTTCTTCCCTTCGTTCCTTCCTCCTCTGCCATCCTTAGAGCTGATTTTCTTCTTTTAATTCTGGCTAAGTTGTTTCCCTACAATCATGTTTCCTTTTACACCACTCAAGTCTTATCTCTCCACTTACCTTGATTTTTCTATCCTCTGCTAGCTCTAACTTTCAGGAGCGCTGTATAATACTGAAGTCTCTGGAATCTCTGTCTTGTAGCCTCATCATTGACCACCTTGCTGCAAAATCCCTGCTCCAGACCAAAGAGGTGGGCTTCAGAGAGACTCTAGAAGATAAAACAGATGTGGTGAACATAAGCCTTGAGTCTGGAGTCATAAGCTCCTACACTGCTTTTGTTGATATCAACAAGAAACTCAATGAGCCAATTCAGGGGCTGATAATACATAGTGGTTGATGATCACATAGATAGCCAATGATCAGAATGGGCATGAGACTGGAAGTGTTAGAACAGGGAATTTGAGGAAAGGGAGAAGGTTTGGAAAAGCAGTTAGGAACAATTGGAGAGTGGAATGCCATTTGCCACAGAGTACTGAGGGCTCAGGTTAGCTCCAGCAGCTTGACTTTGGTAGTGACATCAAATTACTAAGAGAATCGTCGTTTATGTGACTCATTTCAGGGGACTCAGCCACTTTGGTATAAGAATGAAGGGTGTAGGATGTTGACTGAATTCCAAGATCAGGGTTTTGTACAGTGAGTGTAATGAAAGGAAATGAGAGACATGGGACAGAAGATACTGAGAAAAGAATGGTAAAATGTTGGACCTGAAATTTAGGGAAATTAGAGAAGAAAGCAAAGACAGCAGGCAGTTGATACACAGTGAAAAAGTAAAGGAATTAGAGACTTAATCGAATCTCTGAGTTAGAAAGCTGGATAAATTGGATATGGTATTTAAAAGGTAGTTTTTTTTTTTTCCCTCAATCTAGTTTTTAAAAGTGGAACAGTTCTGCCTGATAAGGGACTCATGTCTTGGGAGGGAGTGGCTAAAGTGTGATGGCTTGGGAGTCATTGGGTTTTAGTAACTCAAGAAGCCTTGCATTTGGGTGTTGAGTAGGCTGTCTGCAAAGTTGCTGAAATCTTGCAGGTTGATGGCAGGCCTTGAAATGGAGTGCAGGTCTGTGGCTTAGTTCTCATAAATTTCAGAGGATGATGGAACATGGCAGGGAGGGTAGAGGTTGACAGTAGTGAGGATACATTGAAGGTAACTCCAGAGAGAGAGCAATGATCTGGATACAGAATTAGGAACTGAAGAGACTGTCAAACATACATCCCAAACTGCAGTACTGAATGTGGAACAACATTCAAAAGGCATAGAAGGATAATTGTTTGAACAGGATAAATTGGTTTGGAAGTAAGACTTAATTGAAAGAAGCTTCCTGTAATGAAACCAAAGATGCAGCAGTAATTGTTCGGCACATGTCAGGGGTTCCAGAGGCTGCCATAGAAGTAGAAACAGAGCTCAGAGGGCAAGGGTGTGTGCCAAAAGAATGACGTAACAAGGCTGGGTGACTGGAGCACATATGGATGGAAGATTTTTGTCTCAAATGATCAGGTCTTTGTTTACTGAGGAGAATAGGGGTTCTTCCATCTCGAGTTAGCACTTGTGTTTTTCAGCTCATCCAATGGCAATGTTCTCCATTCATCGTCCTCCTGCACGTCTGCCTGTGAAGAAATTTCTTCTTGTGTGACCGAAGAGTACCAGCACAATGATATCAATCCCTGTAGGTTGATGAATCACAAGGTCCTATAGAGTCTAAGTGAGCATCTTTCCTGAAATATTTCCTCACCCATGTTTGTCTGTCACACATACAGGACTAAGCACATCCCAAGCTACTAGTCATAAATCAAGGAACGCTTGCTTCTCTGTCAGCAGACAGGCCTCCTGTGAGAAGGGAAACACACATTCTTCCACCAGCATCCACACACAAATATCCCAAGCAGGTG